CCCACCACTGGTAAACTGAAGATGCACTAAGATATTCATCAGAACTCAAAACTACGTCATAAATTTACAACTATCATGATCAAGGCTGCTTCAGGGAAGAATCATCAATTGATGTTAAATCCTATCTAGATATATTTGACATCTACATGATCAGAAAATATCTCTGGATCGATTTCATATTGGTTATAAGGAAAAAAGTAACCATAGATTGCAAAAATCATACCGCACTTTGGCTGGATGATCCAAAATGACATTGCCGGTGAGGACCAGCCAGACATCTTGTGTCTCTAGGTGATACACTGAGAGGAACATACTACCACTTATGCAGTTTTCTAACTACTAATCCACAATCCATATACAATAATGAAGAGACAGAAGGTTTAAAAACAAAACAAGACAAAAATACAATATATCTTAGACTGAATCCTGTACTAGAAAGGGGAAAATGTTACATAAAAGACATTATTGGGGAAATTGACACAAAAGGCAGGGAGATGATGAAGTAGGTCTTGTACTCTATCAGTGTTAATCTCAGTGAAGTGCATCACTATACTGTGGTTAGTTAGAGAATACTCTTTTTAGGGAATTCACACTATTTTGTGTTAACGGAATAAAATGTATGCAGTTTATTTTCAAACACTTCAGGGGAGAAAAGCAGTATGTAAATATATATACACACACGCAAAGAGCAAATGATAAGAAAATGGGATAAAATGTTAAAAACAGGTGAATTTTGAATGCAGGATATACAGATGTGTTTTGTAAGAATTTGTGGTAAGGTTCTCGTAACTTTTCTGTTTCAATAATTTTTGAAATTATCTATGAATACAAAATTAAACCAAAACCAACCTGGCCTCCTTAGAGCTGTCTGTAAGGCCCTGAATAAGCACCCCTTCCACCATGCCCAAGACGCATCCAGCACATTCAGTCCACTTACATGACTGTCTTCCCATCTCCCAACACAGCAAGCTCCTTCCCACCTCAGGACCTTTGTGCACTTTTGTGTGGAATTCTCTCCTCCAACTCAAGATACCGTTAATAATCAATTTTTTCAAAACAAAACCTTTGTCTTTAACCTCCAAACCCAGCTTAAATCTATTATAGTCTTTCATAGGGAGAAATGGAGGCCAAATGGTAAGGAGTTGCACTGCCAACCCAAAGGCACTCGGTTTGAATCCACCAGCTGCTCCACAAGAGAAAGATGGACAATCTCCTCCTGTGCAATTTACTGTCTCTGTAAATCCACTGGAGGATCAGCTAAGAGTTGGCTCTGACTTGACGGTACACAGCAACAAGTCTTTCATCGCACTTTTACCAGTGTCTGTAACATTCCTAGGAAGACTGTTAATGTCCATTAAGCTGGAAGCTCTCTGAGGGCCTGTTTCATGACTGCTGCCCCTGCTGGTGGGCTGGAACATTGCCGGGAGCTCAGTGGCTGGCTGGCTGATTGTAAATTCTGTCCAGCTCTCAAAGAACATGGCCTGCAGTCCATCTCTAGTTCCAAAACAGATTCAAGAGGCTTCCACTGTGAAGGCCTCCTGGGGTTCTCATCACTATGTTATCACTGTGCGAAAAGGGGGGGAAATGAGATTTAAGGGAAAGATGATGGGTCTGTCAGGCACCTGGAGCCTGGAAAGGAGGCATTCAGAGGGGCTGTGTGAGTTAGAATGGGAGATGACCAGGAGCTGATGCTGTGGGCATAAAGAAGATTCCTCAAGACTTGTGTAAAAGAAAAAGAGTCCAAAGGGGGGTCCAGGGGACCCTAACTTAAGGGCAAAGAAAATATCAACAGCTTTGGAAGCAAACAACCAGTGGCAGAAGTGGGAGTAGTATCAGAAGCGAGAGATGTCACAGAAGACAGGAGAGGACACTTAGTTGCCAAAGCTCAGGTTTGTTTTCTTCTGCCTTGTTCAAGTTTAAATCTTGGCACCTCGTGAGTTGAGGCAGCCTGATGAGAGTTAAGGGCTTGGACCCAACCTGAATCCTGACTCTTCAACCTAGTAGCCTTCTGATCTTGGGCCATGGGTTTTAACTTTCTCAGACTCAGAGTTCTATCTGTAAAACGGGTAGACCTAGTGTTTATTTATTGGGCTGATTTCAGAATGCCATGAGATCATCATGAGAAGTCCTTTAAGCCATGTTTGCCCTACAACCTCAGGCACGAGTGGCGATCTACATGCGTGCACAGCATGGAGACAGTGCAGTCATTCCGCCAATCGGGCTGTTGCTGAAGTTCAATGCTTCACCCGAAATAGACCATCAGACGAGAGTCAAAGAGCCTCCTTCACCATCTTCTGTTGCACCTCTTGCTTTTCAGGTTCAATTCCTACTAAAAACTAGACAGTGCACAGGTTCCACTTAACCGCATCCTCACTCTTAAAGCTTCCTTCCCCCAAAAGTCAACCTCTAGCCCCCCCCAAGTGTGCCCCAAAGCTTACTCAACTCGATTGCAAATGACTCCCCCCTCCAAGAGTACCCTCCACTCTATTTTCCCACTAACTATGGTGACACGCTCTCCAACAAAGCTTCTAGGAGCAAAAGTAAGAACTTGCAAGACATCACTGATGTCCTGTCCCTAGCTTCTGACCATCCCATCTCTGACAGAAAGAGAATTGTGTGGGTACCATTTACAGTTTACAAAGCACTTCTACAAGATCATCTTCCTTTCATCCTCACAACTGCCCTGGGAGGTAGATACAGAAAACAACTACACTAGTTTCCATTTATCAAATATTTGCAACGCACCATCCTCTGTGTTAAGCAATTTCACATGAGATCTCTCATTTAAACATCACCAAAACCCTATGAAATAGACTTAGTCGGTGTTTCCATTTTACAGAAAAGTGGGGCTCTGAGTAGTTGGATGTTGCCCTAATATCAAAGAGGTAGTAGTACTGGAACCTGCATCGCAACTCAAGACTGACTCCAGAGTCACACTTCCAGCCCGGCCACGGTATTGCTTCGTAAAGCAAGCAGATTATTGCCCAGGTATTATTCCACCGTTAAACTGAAGTTCAGAAAGATAATGTGACTTTCTCAAGGTCTCCCAATCAGGAACTGACAGAGCGGGGGTCCACACTCCGATGCCCTAAAACTACGAAGCTTCAACAATTGGGCTGATGACATACAACGACATGATGATTTTGGCAGCTGGTCTATCCACTGCTCCTGCTAAATCACTCATACTCCTAGGTTGGAAATCCTTCCTGGCATTTTTCAGAAAATTGATGTTATTCTGATTAGCATAAAAATGGGGAAAACCATTCTAATTCTCCATGAGACTTAAAGCTTAACAATCAGCATAGGGTGTTAATGTTTTGAAGAAATCCACTGACATGATATTAAAACTCGTCATTCAAATACTATCCAGATGTTTTCTGATATCTTTCTAGTTCTTTTTTGCTCTAACCTACAGATTCTTCCTACTTGCTACTAAATGCTTATTTCATATTTCTTTTTCAAAAAATAGGAAAGAGTTATGAAAAATACTGTTAAAATGATTTCAGGGATTATCAGAAATTCCAACTTCTCATTCCTGAATATTCATATCTGAATTAGGACACCTTAGCTTAGAGAAACCTGGGGAATTTTCCAAGCAATCAAGTGGAATAGTAAAAGGTAGAGAGAGGTCTTCTTCTTTGGCCTCAAGTGTCACGTCGGAGGTCGCCATCATTTCTAAAGGCAGAGGTCTGAGAGGTATCCCTTGCCTCTATCTGAAGCACAGGCCATGAGTAAGAAATTTCTCTGAAGTCTCATGTTAGTTATAGATGCAAATGCCAATTTCCATCTCATTTTTTTTGTAATTTACCAGAGAGAAACAGATGCCACATCAAACCTGCAGCCCTTGTCCCCTGTGAATCAGTCTGAGCCGGGGTCGAGTAGATGGAGGCAGGAAGGCCACCTGGGTCTAAATTCCCCTTCTGACACTTACTGACTGTGTGACTTTGGGCAGGTCCCACAACCACTCAGAGACTTACTTTATCCATCTGTAAAATGTTTGTAGTAAGAATACCTATGTCACAGGGATGCTGTGAGAATTAAATGAGATAATTCCATAAATCACAGTGCCTGGCACAGAGTAAGCCCTCAAAAACTGAGTCCTTATTTCAGAGTATGAGAGGCCCAGCAGCAGAGTCAGGAAGGAAGAGCTTAGTGAAAGTCCTTGGGGCCATCAGCAGATGGCCTTGTTCACTTGAGGTCTTCTTCCGGTGGAGATTCTCCGAGTGAACTGGGGTCAGCCCACCTCTAGGCCAGAAAACTCGGCTCACAGCAGCCAGGCCCAACCTCTTCCCAGCCCCACATGGGTCCCTCATGCCTGGTGGTGGCCAGGCAGGTGACCTGGCTGCCAGCCTATGTCAGTTGCCAGGTGACTGGCAAAGTTGGCCCTCTGGTGGCCTTTCTGCCAAAAGCCCTGTCGTGCTCGAGAAGGCGGGTTGAGGGTGAGGTAGCTTGGGTGTTGTGCCAGGGGCTTGCCCTGCCCATGTCTGGGCCTTGCAGGGCCTCTGCACAAAGGCAAGGTCAAACGTAACCTGTGTTGCTGGAGGCCAGAGGCCGGCAGAGGCACAACCCACATGTGTCAGCGATATGGGCCTTGTGGTGTCACAATGGCAAGACTTCCTCCACTCTCTCTGGATTGAAGGCCCTGCTGGAACTGTGCGCACCGCGGGCACACCAACAGCGTCGGAGCGCTGGTGTGAGAGGAAGCTGGTGCGAGAGGAGGTGACTTGGAGCACAGGAGGGCCTCTAGCTCTCTGTCCTCAGGAGCTGAGAGGTCTGGGTGCTGCCCGCAGCTCTTCCCGCACTTAGGGCACTGGCGTGAAAGCCCGCGGAGAGTAAGGTGGGTGCCGCGGCCATGGGTTGGGGCAGGTGTGGAGGTCCTCCCTGGCCCATGTTCTGGTGGCTACTGAGCTGGGAAACTTCCTGCCCTGGAGCACAGGTAAGTGGTTGGGCTGGGGGCAGCCAAGGGAGGTCCAAAGGCCTCACATGACCATGGAACTGGCTCACCTTCCCTTCCCCTGGGGGCTTGTCCTGGGTCCCCTCAGGGCCTTGTTTCCTCCAGCGGAAGCTCTGGTATCTGGCACTGGCATGGAGGGACTGGGCCGGGAGTTTGTCCGGAGGCCTCTCCGGGGAAGCAGCCTCCTGATGGGCTCTGTCTTTAGGCCTTTTTCATGGAGGGCTCTCCTTGTTATTCTCACACTGGGATCCTGCAGGGAAGAAAGAAAGAGTCAGAATAGTGTCTCCTCATCTACTCACCCCACCCAAGGACAGGAAGGCCTGGCCTTAGTACTCTTGTTCTTAAGAGCCAGCGAGTCAACTAGGACTCATAGCGACCCTATGAACAATGGCTCTGAACCTTGCCCTATCCTGAGCCAACCTCACTGCCTCTGACACATCTGACAGGCACTGTGTCAATCATCCCACCAAGGGTCTTACTCTTCCACACTGACACACCACCCTTCCATGCATGATGTCCTTCTCTAAGGACTGGTCTCTCCTGGCGACATGCTCAAACTCTTAGGTGGGTCATTTGCAGGTAAGGCAGATACTGAAGCTCTTTTATTGGAAACTCAGACCTCAGTGTTTTAAATTAGCCAGAGTTGGCTTGGAATTTGAGCCCCAAGGCTTACCCGCCATGTGAGTTTATGCTAGATACACACTTTTTTGAACGCTCTGTTTGTTAAAGTATAAAATGAGCATAAGGGTTAACTACTCCAGAGGACTGTGTCCCTTTCGCCTATGACCCTCAGAAAGGTGGGAAGATGATAAATTGGAAAGATCACTAAAAACTGTTGACTTTAAAGCACATATTCACTACCACTACCAAATTGTTGTGTGCTGTCAAGTTGGAACTGACTTCTGGCTGACCCCCAGTGGGTTTTCAGATGCAGTAAAACACACAGGAGAAGATTAGCAATCTTTGTCCTGCAGAGCAGTTGGTGGATTCAAACCGTGTGCCTTTGGGTTAGAAATGCAACTCCTTGCCATTAGGCCACCAGAGCTCCCTTCACTACTAAGTAAGAGCTAATGTTTCACATAGATACACATCAACTGGTGCCTTCTACTACTCATCATTAAAAATAACCACGAGTCTTGGGCGTTTTATGTATGAGAACAATCTGGAACAAGAGGTGCATGGCAAAGTGGACTGACTGGTGGAGGGGGAAGAGAAGAGGTAAGGGAAGAGAGGAAAATGTGCAACAATGAATGAATAAAAAGGGGAAAAAACACAATTTGCTCTGTAAACTTTCCTCCAACATGGTTATTAATTGTTGAGTGGAAAACTAATTTGCTCTGTAATCCTTCACTCATTTCCCACTAAAAAGCTAAAAAAAAAACCCAACAACAAAAAAACACAAAACTAGAACCCTTGGAGGGTAAAAAAGAGTCCTTGAAGGGTAGCTGATGCCATTAGGTAGTGCAAACAAAATGAAGAGTGAATCTATAGCATCTTGTTGATCCTAAAATGTAAGGCTGATTTCAATGTCAAGGATAGTATTGCAAAGACAAAGTCGCTGATTGAATAATTTACTATTGTCCAAACTATAACAATGCGAGCACCATAAATTAGATAATCATCACCATTATCCCAAGGTAAAATGACCAAGAAAGGCCATGAGTTGGTAAGTGACTCAAGAAAACAATGTTACCAGCAATTCCAAACTCAAAGACTTGAAATCAGAGACTCCAAGAGTGTGATATTCACTGCAGTGCTATTCACAATAGCCAGAAGGTAGAAGCAACACAATGCGGACCGTGCTTCAGCAGAGCACAGCTTAACCCTCAGCGGGAATGGACTTCCTGACACACGTTACAGTGTGGAGGGCGCTAGAAGACTTGCTGAGGCAAATGAGTTAATCGCAAACACTAAATACTGTGTGACCTCACTTCTACAAGACAAAAAAGACCAAACATGAAGGGAACAAAGGTTATTAGTCATTACCAGGGGAGGGAAGATGTGATGCTGGGGGAGTTACTGCTTATGGAACACTGAGCTTGGTTTCCAGAGATGCAAGAATCACAGTGGTTACTGGGAATATACCCTGAAGAGACCATATCTGACATCCAAGCAGATATATGCACACCCATGTTCATTGCAGCTTTGTTCACAATAGCAAGGAGTTGGAAACAACCTAAGTGCCCATCAACAAACGAATGGCTAGAGAAGCTGTGGTATATTCGCACAATGGAATACTATGCTGCATTGAAAAACAAGGAACTCATGCAATATTATTCAAAATGGTTGACTCTGGAGAACATTATGCTGAGTGAAATATCCCAGTCACAAAAGGACAAATATTACATGATGCCACTGTTGTAGAATGGGACTGTCCTTGGGGTTAGGGAGACACTGAGTAAGATGGGTTCAATAATGTATACTGCACTGAAGCAGAGGAGGGAGAGAACCGTCTAAAAGAGAGATGTAACTGGGTATTTCTGTCATCACAGGAGACTAGAGCGAGGGCTGCATGGTGGAGGGGACCTGGGGGAGGGTTTGTAAAACAATGAAAGAATCTTTTTTTTTATTTTTCCATAAAAAAAAAAAAAAAAAAAAAAAGAATCACAGTGGTTAAGAGCAGGGTGGCTCACTCATCCCCTGTAAGTGCAATGTGAAGCTGTAAACCTGTAAAAGGTGGTGGTTTTTATTAATTACTTTTCATTTGAGTGAATATTTACAAATGATACTGGTTTTTCATTTAATCATTCAGAGGTATTTTGTTTTATAAGAGTAATTATCAGAGTGTGTGTGTGTGTGTGTGTGTGTGTGTGTGTGTGTATGTTGTGTACTGTCTAGTCGGAACTGACCCATAGCTGACCCTCCTGTGGGTTTTCAGAAGCAGTTAATCAAATGGGAAGAGATTGCCTGTCTTTCTACCACAGAGCAGCTGGTGGATTCAAACCACATGCCTTCAGGATTGCAGCACAGCTTCCTGCTACTAGGCCACCAGTGCTCAATTACCACTGCTCGGGTAATTAATTAACTACAGTGTCTGAGCAACAAAACATTGTATTCCATGGAGTTTTGACCAGGAAAAGAGGCAGGGAAGGCTGTGAGTAGCCTTATCCAGTATTACTGAATAATGGGACAGGCAGGATTTACTATCATCAGCAGACCAAGTTAAAAGGCCATAATGCTAAATGTGAGTGTTCATCTCTAGGAAAGACATCAAAAGGAATACATGTATAAAGAACTCTTACGGTGGACCTCATTTAAATCCAGTTTCTAACAAAGTGGAAAACAAAGTGTAATATTAATATTAAAGAATTATCATTATAAAATAATTTCTTTTTCATAATGGTACTGTTGTCTAAAGTTCTTAGAGAAAATAATCTGGGGATAATTATAGATGCAATTGTATGATGCCTGAGATTTGCTTCAAAATAAAAAAGGAGAGCAGTCAGTGGGTGGTGGGGTAGAGAAGAAACAAAACTGGACATGAGCTGACAGTTGTCAAAGCTGAGGGGTACACCATGACCATTCCGTACACTATTCTTACTTCTGTGTATTTAAAAATACTCCCCCTAAGAAAACATTTTTAAAGTATTCAAAAGAAAGAAAGGAATACAGAGACTCTGAAAGCCCCACAGAAATGACCCTGAAAAGGTACTGGGTCTGCAGATAAAAAAGTCTATCTGTGGATACCAAAGGCTTAGCGAGGGTAAATGGGGAGTTTCTGCTCACAGGACACCAAGTTCCTGTTGGAGGGGGTAGCTAAGTTTTGGAAACAGGTAAGTGGTAATACTTACAGGACATGGCCGATGTAATGAACGTACATGTGAAAATGGCAAAATCTTGTTATATATATACTTTACTACAATAAAACCAAAGGTGTAGGTGGTCAGTGGCTTGGGTTTAAAGCCTCAGAACTGTGCAACCTGACGCGAGGTTGCAGCCCACACACCCTGTGACGACCTCAGCTGATTCTGAGAAAGTCTCCTGTTTCTTTTGAGTCTAGTAGGATTAGAAGAACTCGAGGAAGTTATAAAAATAAGAACTGGTAGAATTACTGAAACTTTAGAAAGATGCAAATATTGGAAGGAAGCTGTTAAAATTAAGGTAAAAGAAGTTTTAAAAAGTTATTGGCACTTTCATAACTACTTTTGATAACAAAGTTTTAATAACTTTGTGATCATCACACTCGTGCATGCTTAAAGCGTATGAAACAATCACAAAAAACAGCTGGGGGGAGGGTTGGAAGGGGAGAAAAGTACAACAATGAATGAATGGAAATCCAAAGTCTCTGTAAATTTTTACTGACATTAATAATAAATTTAAATTAAAAAAACAGCCAGACTCAATTTGTACTTGTAATTGAAATTATTGAAAACAAACAAGTTGATCAAAGAATAAATATCCAAGGATAAACTTTAAATTTTTGTCATTGTTAAAGTCTTTATATAGAGAGCATTAAACAAAGCACAGGAGGTAGTGGCTGGAAGGCTCTCACCTACCAAGTCATCTTTGGTGAGTCTCGGGGAATACTTTACATGCAGAGGTGCAGGTAAAATGCTTGGGACAGGGCCTGGCACACACAGTTCCAATGAGTTCACTTATAGGCAGAGGGAAGGATGGCAGAGCATACAGGTGACATGTCAGCTACCATACTGACCACCACCAACAGACCAGGCATCCAAGAACCAATGGTAAGAACAACACTCTTTATTGCTACAGAGTCAGAACTGTCTCACAGCTGACCTTCCAGAAACTATAAGTCACATGGGAGGAGATAGCTCATCTGTCTCCCGTGGAAGAGCTGGTGGATTCAAACTGGCCACCTTTGGATTGGCAGTAAAACTCACTACCACCTACTAGGCTATCAGAGACAAGGCCCTATCACTTCTCCTCTTTCTGTGCTTTGCTTTACTAGTCTCCCTGGATACTGGCTTTTTGAGTCACTAACAACTATCTGCTATACTTTCAGGCCATTCTCAACGCCTTCTTCCCGGTCACACTGTGCCTCCTTCCTGTCACAGGAATCAGTGGTCTCACAAAGAGAAGGCCTGGTTCCCCTTTAAGAGGCATAGAACAAAAGTCTCAATTCAGAGTGTAACCGAATATAACTCTGCTCCTTGCATAAAAGCAACGCAGAACAGTGGTTGGGAGCATGAGGTTTAGCTCATCTGGGAGAGTTCTGAATCCTAAGGTAGCTTCTTGCTATCAGAGACCTTTGGGTGAGCCACAAAATCTCTGGGCCTCTCTTTTCCT